AAAAAAAAAAGTAGATTTTGGAGCATTTTTAATGGAAATTGGGGGATAAATGGTGTTCTTTCACAAATGGTTTCAGTTGTGCTAATTTTACTTTTATTGCTAGGAAGTTTTGAATTCTGGTTTTTCTGGCACATTTGTGGTATGTGTTGTCTCCTTACACATAATTAGATTTTGAATAAAGTTGTTAAACTCGAGTCACTTGTAGGATTAATTCAACTCGGCCAGTTAAGTCTTTGGGTTTTGACTAAACTCGAGCTTGTTTAGTTAACGAGTCAAATTTGTCTCCGCTTGTTAGGCTTGATAAATAGCAACTTATGTAACTTTTTAAACTATCAGCTTTAGTCGGGTCGTTAATTTTGATAAGAGAACCAAGTTCGAGCTCGATTATTGGATCTATTAGTCAACAAGCTCGGCGCGACTCGACTCAATCGTACATTTGAATCAACATAATAGTACATTGGCAATTGCTGAGAGCATGATAAAACAGAAAGCTCTTACAAACATAATCACAACCAAGCCCTTTCTGAACAACGATGCGTTATTGGTTTGATTCTCCTATTACTTGTGGGTTTTGAGGAAGTTCAGGATGATTTTGTTCACCTCATCGGGCGATTGTTCTTGAACAAAATGAGTTCCTTGTGGCAAGAATAGAATCTCCAAATCTGGCACGTGCGATTTTGCTGTCCCGCTCCTGATGTAATCTTCCATTCCTGGAAATTTCAACACGTAATCTTGCTCCCCCATAATCAACAAAGCAGGGACCTTGACTGTAGGATCTTGGATAGGTATTTCACCCTGCGTACCCATTGACCTACAATGAAACACGATTATCTCCGACCCAATTCACGGAAATCGAGTCTCGTATTCTTTTTGTCGATGAATTCAGTAAAACGGGTTGAGTTCTCCAACAAAAGAGAGTCAAGACTCAAGAGACTAAAGAGAAGGATTACATCGTAAACAATCTAAGTAAACAAAAGAGAAGGAAAAGAAAGGAAAAAAAAAAGGAGAAAACAGTCTTTCACAAATACATAATTCTATACGGCCTCGTTTACTTAAAATGATAGGATTGGACAACTTGACGCGTCAGCTTGTGTTTAGTGTTTATAGAACATTATGCATTTCTGTAAAACAATCAAACATTTATTAACCTCGATAAAATGACAACATAAATAGCAAAGTATGGCAGCAAAGTATATATATATGACCTAAATCTATAATTTGATGACTTCCGAGAGTAAAAAGACATTCACATGCCAATTTTTGAACAAAATGGTCATTTCTGAGGTGGGATTAACATGTTCCACCCTCAAGACCCGACAAAATAATCCGCCCAATCGTGCATAAAAGTGTGGGACCACACATTAGCTTATTATTCAATCCCATTATGGTTAGTATACGTTGGATAACAGGATTTATCCAACCATATCCTATCTTATCAGCTTAAATAAACAAGGATGTAAAAAAACAAAAAGTTTTATCTTAAATTTGTTCTTGGTGGTCAATATAGTACAGATAATTAGTACCTGTAAGGGACCTGAAGTGCAGTCCGAAAACCTGATTTGTCGTACAAGGCTCCATAGGTTGCAAGGTCTTCCTCAGTAAACCAACAAGGTAAACGAGTGTTCGGTTCGACCAGGTCCATAATCTCCTGGTTTTCTTGTGCAATCGGTATGTCACTCTTGGAGAACATGATGTACACATTCCTAACTATTGTCTTGGCATCATATCGCTCAAAATCAGCCTCCGCACGCCCCGGAACCTGTAAGAAAAAAAATTTAAAGGAATAAGCTAAGAGGGTGTATTCGTTTGAGATTTCAAGCAACATTTTGAGATTTTTTGAGATAGATAGTTTTTAATATGGAATTCTGTGAAATCTTAAGCTTAGAGGCGGGACTTTGAGTGGGATTCTGTATAAGTTTTTTTTCTTTAGAAATCCTAACAAATCTTAAAAAGTCTAATCTCAAATAAATAAGTGAAATACCTCAAAATTTTGTAAGATTTTTTAAATCCAAAATGAATATCCCAAGACTTTTCAAAGTCTTAAAAAGCCTAAATTAAATACACAACGATTTCTAAAGTATTAAAAAGTCTTT